AATGGAGAGAAAACCCCAAGCAGCAGCAGATACTATTAGGGTGCTGACTGCACCCACCCGGTCTTTCTATCCGTGCAAGGGCGGCCAGCCTAGGGATCAGAGCAGACAGCATGGCCTATGTGGTCACACAAAGATGAATGGGGGATCCTGGGCTGCTCTTGCTAGCTACTTGACAAAAAGCAAGTGGCTCAGCTGTCTGAGCCTCAGTTTCCTCACCAGTCAGATGGGAATAAAAGTACCAGGCTCAGGGGATTAGGACTGAAACTTAGAATAGGGTATAGAAGTGAATTCAGCCCAGGACTTGGGACATGTGAGGAGCTCAATAAGAAGTAATTACCCTATTCTGGTATCAGACTGTACAGCCTCCCCACACACCGCACGCGCGCGCACGCGCACGCACACACACACAGGCACACCCACCTCTACTCTGCAGTAATTTAGCCAACTCCCTGGCAGACCTTCCTATGCTCTCTGCCATTTCCAAAGCACTCTTTCCAAATCTGCAGGTGGCAGCCACTTTTGAGGCAGAGCAATTTGGGCATAGCATGCCTGCATTTCCCTATCCACCTAAAGAATTGTTCTCAAATAAACACACGTAGGAGCCAACCCCCTCTCCTGTTGGGGCACAAAGGCTTCAGCATGTTTGTATTGTACAAAGCACAGATCTGCTAAATGCAAGATTGACCTTGGCGCAGGCCATTCTGCGTGGACCAGAGAGGGCAAGCACTGGCTGACAGTAGCAAGTTCTAGGAACCCAGGGGCATTTGTCTCCTGCGAGCAGAAGAAGCTGTGAGAGGGAACTCAGAGCCCCCGCCCCCAGCAGAGCTCCTCCTCAGGGACACAAACCTCACACACACCTGCTTCTAGAAGGAACACACTGCTCTTCATGTGCAAATTGCCAGGCTCAGACATCACCTGGGTAATGAACTATTTGGCCAATGGCTGGAGAAAGGCAAACAGGGAGGGATGTAGAATTCACATCAAATACAGTCAGGGCAGGTCAAGGTCATTAAAATATTGCTGATGCCACCACGTCATAGGTGAGTCTAGAACAACTTCAACTGGAGTAGCTCCCAGCATTTCATATCAATACTCTCATTTAGGAAAGACCAGTAAATATAACTAGTGCAAATCTCAACTTCCTTTAGGGAGTCCAGCATCACTGGATGTATCCTGACAAATTTGTCATTCATTTCCCTCACCTACGTCGTGGGGAAAGTTGTTGCAGACTCACCCTTTACAAGTAATACAGCCTTGGGGTAATCGACATAGAGCCATTTCCTTATCTCACCTGCCTTCTAATGGCTGGGAGGTTTGGAGGTTAAAGCCTTCTAATGGCTGGGAGGTTTGGAGGTTAAATGGATTAAGCTCCTAAAAGGCAGCTTAGCATAGAAGGTGCTCGATTAATGGTAACACTGTTACTGACAGAAGGATATACACATGTTAACACTTATACTTTCAACCTAATGGCTTATTGGCTATCTGCATTTGGGAAGATTTTATGTTGTCAAAAAAGCATTAGAAAACCAACTACTATATAAATACAAGCACAATTTACTGTTTTGCCAGGGGCCACAGATCTCTGATGTTCTCACAGCCTACAAGGAAAGTAGTAGCCATTTGTAAATAAATAACTCATTAAGGAAAAAGCAAGTGTTCCCACAAGATGAACTGAAAATCTGCTGGATTTTTCACTGGCTGTCAATGAACATGGGCAGCTACAGATAATTTGGGTGCTGGAGGATCAGAAGATCTTGCATAATGCAAGCGGAGATGAGAATCCAGAGGCCACAGGTTTAAACTTTAAGACATAGTTAAGAAGGAAACAAAAAAGTTGAATTACAAGGTCATCGTGACCCAGAGCACTAAGCAATAAAGAAACAAACCAGAGTATTTTCATTTATCTCTAAATGTCATTTTGCCTACGGGGCTGGATAAGGGTAGTTCTAGTAAACTGAACATTCTGGTTAAAAGAAAAGTCACCATGTAGAGTATTTGTGAATTGTCAGCATCCAGAGGCTCAGAAGACAATCAAAAACATTTATCATAAAATGAAACAGAATCTAATTTCATTTTTCCTTGGATGATTCAAAAAGCACTTCAGGATCACACAGTCTCCTTATGAATTTCTACTGCTATTAAAGAAAATAAATAAAACCATGGCAATACCTGTCATTTGTCTTTCCCCAATCTGAGTAAGGAAAAAAAACTGTCTATGCTTTTAACTTTCTGGGAAGCAGTGACTCTTAAGTGGGAGTTAACTTGCTTCGATGGTGTTTCTCAGAGAAGACAGACAAAATAGGCTCAACTTTTGTTAAGTGGGGATTAACTCCCATGAGGAACTGCTCCAGAGAGCCCATGGGGTGGATATCACTTGTAGGAAGGAGAAATGGAGACAGAATTTCTGTACCAGTGGTCTCTAAATCCCAGCTTTCTGTTCTTTCTGACCCTCAGCATCTGCGTTAACCAACCCTTTGTTTCTGCACTTTTGGTTTAAGACTTCATTTATTTATTTTAGAAAGAGATAGAAAGTGGGGGGGGGGGCAGAGAGAGAGACAAGCAGACTCTGTACTGAGTGCGGAGCCTGATGTCGGGCTCAATCTCATGACCCCTGAGCTCAGGATCTGAAACCAAGAGTCAGATGCTTAACGGACTGAGTCACCCGAACAATCCTCCCGCATTTCTAATCACCTCTAGATTATACCAAGGAGAGATAAAGAAGTCAGGGGTAGAGAAAAAGAGCAAAAGACCAAAGGAGACATCATTATTTTTAAAAAAAGGAGAATCATTATGAGTAGAAGCCCAACAGGAAACAGACATGACAGATGACCACCAAAATGGATGCCAACCAGTGTGTCCCTTTATATCCCACTTGGAAGAAAGACAGCTGACCTATCATCTACAAGAAAATATGATTAACTTTGTTGTGGTCAAAGGTCAAAGATCAGCGCTGAAGGGTGTCTGCCACATGTCAAAAACCTGCTTCTCCCACAGTGCATACACCCCAAGACATGATTCCATCCGACCCCAAGTCACTTGCGTAGTATGGAAAAAGCTTTATACTGAGAGTCATGAGACCAACTGGCAATGCTGCCACCAACCAGCTCAGTGACATGGGTGGACCCATCTGTCCTCTGTGGACCTCAGCTTCCTTCTTAATGAAGGGGGCAGAGCAGAGGAAGGATTGTGACAGACCATTGCTGATTGCATTCAGTCCAGGTTTATCATGGGTCCATCATGGACGTGGCACCTAAGCTTTCCTCTGGGTCAAGAAGCAACTGCCTCAAGCTTCCAGGACAGGACTAGACTGTACATTGTAAACTACTAGGCTGTGACAGTATAGGAGGAAAAGATGCAAAGTATGGTCTGGAGCCAAGAAATCTGGACTGAGAACCAAGAGTCCTGACCTTTCACCTCCCTGGCTCTGTGGGCTTTTTTTGGCTTCTGTTTTCTCCTCTGTAAAATGAGGTTATTGGTACAGATAAAGGATTCTTAACTGAGACTCCATGGACATCCTGGGTCTGTGGGTGGGATTCCAGCTGTTGACAAGCTGCTAAAAACTGTTTTCCAGTTCCGTGGGCAGGGGCATGTTTCCTGGGAAGAGATCTAGAGCTTTACTCACTTCTGCAAAAGCACTGAAGTTCAAGAACTAATAATAACTGCTATTATAGATAAAATCTATGATCCCTTCCAGCTCTGATGTTCAACAAGTCACATGACAATACTGAAAACTATGGAGATGACAGCCCTTTGGGACAAAGCAAAGAGAAACTACCCCACCCGAGTAACAGGTATCCAAACAGCCATCCTGATGATCATCCGGGTTTTGGCACTTGACTGGTGGGTATAGTCTCAGGTCTGGAGCCTCCTAGCTAGATCACTGGGCATCCATCACCCATACTAAAGCAGGAGTCACCCATTCTGCTTCCTCCCTTTGCTGGGGATCAGGGGCAGCAGAGGCGGGAGTGAGAACACAGGGGGATGTGAGCGCTCCCGCTAGGGGTCTGAGTCAAAGCTGTTCTGCTTTGAGCGGCATAAATAACCATCATCCCAGCTTGGACTCCGCCAGACTGGACTCAGAGGTCAGGGACATCTGCACAGTGGGTTGAAGCTCATTCCTGCACTTATTCTCACAAAAGAAGCAGCTAGAAACCTATGGGGGAATGCAAATCAGATCACAAGAGGAAAGCTAGGGAGTGCCGTTGTCAGACTCTGAGAAACACGAACATGGCCTTTTAGATTCCTGGTGTGTTTCTAGGGGCTAGGCTGCCTAAGTTTCTAAACAGCAATGCCTTCCTGGCTGCAGATAGATCACCCCACCCCAGAGCCCACATATTATACAGTATTTATTTTCTAAAACGGTCCATCGTTCCGTGGACTCCCGGGCCCCTCCTCCCAGCAGGCCTCCATGACCACAGTCTGGCCTTCTATGATTTCCTCTATATCCTGGCTGTTAAGTCAGTTAGAAAGTCAGAGAGCAGAGGGGCCAGAAGCATCCTTCCCTTGGGGCAGAAACAGACTCCCTGTTTACAAAGAGCTCTCTGAAAACAGACCAGCAGGAAGAGCAAGGCTGTGGAAGAACTCAGCTCCAGAGACAAGCAGAGCTACTCTCCAATCACAGATCTGTTACTTACCACTGTCTGCCTTCGGGCTAGAAACCTACTATCTCTCTGACCTTGAGTTTCTTCACCTGTAAAATGGGGACAACAGTAACTTCTAGCCCACAGATTCCCTGTGAGGGTAAATGAGATAAGTCATCCCTAGCACAGAGGAACACCTTACTAGGTACATCATTTTACTGTTGTTGTCAAAATTATCATTATTATTGCTACTACTAGTGTCTAGGCAGTTACAGCGACAAACAGTGTCTGTGATGTTCCTGACCTAGAAAGAAGGCCTCTCACTGACTCCATGCCTATTGGTTTTCTTCTTCTCGCCTGGCCCCTGGCAGCCCTGCTACCCCACGGGGAGTGCTCAGGACCCCTGACCCTTAGTCTTACCTTCCTTTTGTTGGTGGGATTGACGTAGAGGTAACTGAGGACAGTCTTCAAACCTACTTTGTCATTCAGCTTCTCGTAGGTGGTGCCATAATCCGTTGATCTGCAGGTAAGAGAGAAAGGGAGGGATTGTTTTACCAAATGGGGGATTGTGTTCAGAGGGGAGCCAAGTTCTCCTTCAACGTGCACCTTTGTTCCCAAATCACAGGAGTGATTCAGAGATAAAAGGCCCCACTAATTTCGGAAGAGCAATTAAGACTAGCGCACCTGCTTACTACCTAAGCTCACTCCCCTTTGCTCCTGGCCTTTCCCGGAGCCCTGATTTTTCGCCCTTTGGGAGGCTGTCTGTCTGTGAAAGCCGTTGCTGGGGACTGCCTGCCTGAGGTTCAGCCAGGGGCCTCGGCGTGCTGCTGAGGAGCGATGCGAGTTCCGGCCAGGAGCTGTGCGAGAGGCCAGACTGTCTCCGGAGGTCACCGGAGTCCAGCCAACCTCACGCCGCCTCCACTGGGCCTGAGGCTGGGGACCCCCGGGGTGGAAGGAAGCCCCATAGGCAGGAGCTTGGAGGGTCCAGCGGCCGTGTCGGGCCACAGCGGGGAGAGGGTGGGATGCTTTACAGAGGAGCCATGGTGGGTCAGGGCCAAAAGCTGGTGCTAGGAAGTGCCGCTAACAGTTCATCATCCCAGTCATCCTGCTGGCTACCTGCTTGTCCTCTGGGCCTAATTTCCAGGGTTCTGACCTTATACCAAAACCACAAGTCAGGACTCAGAGAGCAAAGTCAGGCGAAGCCATAGGTCCCTTCTTCTCCATCCCGCCTTTCCATGGTGGAGGAAGGAGAGCGTGTGGCTCTCAGGTAGACCCCAGCCTCGATGCCACGCTTTGTGCCTCACTCCCCAACCCCACTCCACACCCATCCCCCTCCCTTTTCAAACCAAGAATATCATCCGCTCCACGCCCCATCTTTCCCCCATTGCCTTCTTTGGCTAGATCATGAAACTTCTCCCACCCAGGCTTTAGAAAGTCCAAGGTCAGCTTAGTTTCTCTGTGGTCACCCGACCTCATGGGTGTCTGCATTCTGCCTCAGATCTCAGTGTCCGGCTCTGGCTGGGTGCTCCCCTAGTAACTAAATGCCTGCCTATTCCTACCTTTTCCCAGATTCTTCACCCACCTCCTCCCCAGAATCTGCTCCTGCCCTGGCCCACAGTTTAGTTTTACAAGCCTAGTCGTCAAAGCTTGTAGTGTGTGATGACCTTTAAGAGTTATCCCCCCTCATCTGATCGAGCAAATTCCATGTCCCCATGCCAGCTGAGATGCCCACCCTCATCTCTGTGAAGGCTCCACTAGCCCTCTTCCCAGTCACCCTCACCCCTTCTCTTCCCTGAAACAAGCTTCCCCAGCCCACAGTGCACCCAAAACACACTGCACTTGCCTCCTCTTGGCCCTGTGATATCATTGTGATGAGTTTCTTTAAGTTCTGGTCCCCCTAGCACAACATCAGCTCCCGAAGGACAAGGGAGCTCAGAGAACACTACAGTGAGACCAAAGAACATGAACTTTGGGATGTAGCAAAATCTCTATTTCTTTTTTTTTAAGATGTTATTTATTTATTTAACAGAGAGAGAGAGAGAGAGGGTGAAAAAGCACAAGCGGGGTGAGAGGCAGAGGGACAAGGAGAAGCAGACTCCCCACTGAGCAGGGAGCCCGATGAGGGACTCAAGCCCAGAGCCCTGGGATCATGACCTGAGCCGCAGGCAGACACCTAACCAACTGTGCCACCCAGGCGCCCCACAAAATCTCTATTTCATTGCTAGATCCACAGCTCTCTGGTTGCATGACCACGTGCAAGTTATTTAACCTGCTAGAGCCTCAGGTTTCTTGACTGAAAAAATCAGGGAAATTTAATCTCACAAGGTATTTATTTGTAAGGATGCAAAAATATGACACATGAGAAACCTCCTGGCAGGATGTAGGTATAATGAAATGTTAAAAAATATATATACATAAAAATAAAAAGGACATTCACTTCTCCTTTCCCCAAAATGTACAAAACCAGTCTGTACACATCATACACAATTGGCATGTTTACTGAATAAACAAACATCGGTATTTCAAATCTCTCCCTAGGCTACTGGCTCCACATGGTCAGTGTCTATGGTAACTTTTATAACCAGCCCCCCAAAACTGACTTCTTATCTTCCTTTCAGCACAGGGAATCACTCCCAATCTTGCTTGTTGACTTTATCTCTCCAACCCAGCTCAGTCTCCCAAGTCTTAATGATTCTATCTCCTAAATAACTTGGACCCCTGGTCTTTCCATCTTCACGCCAATGCTGTGGCTCATGCATCCTTATTTTTTGCAATAGTCCCCCAACTGGATGCTCTTCTTCCAGCCTTCTCCCCCTCCCACCATCCTCCACGCTGTCATCAGGCCATATTTCAACCTCTGGGTCTCTCTACCTCATCCCTCGTAGTAATTACCCACTGCCTACACACGATGAGGTTGTAGCTTCCAAGCTTAGTCTTGTCAAATATGGCTTCAGTCTTCCCCACTAGACTCATTTCCAGCCACCTATTCACTGCCCCTTTCTCTCCAGCCTCACCGAACTTTCCTGAATGTCCTGTGTTTTCACTGCCCTCCATTTCTACAAGTATCATTCCCTTTGTCTGAACTATCCCTGTGCTATTTCCTCTGCTTGGGACATTTCTCTCCAACCTTGACACCACCAATATCACCCTCCTGCCAGCTTCCCCACCAGGAAATTAATCATGATTTCCTTTGCATTCCCATATCACCTTGTATATATTTCTATGTTAGCATTTATCCTATTGTTTCTCATACTATTTTTATTCTGGGATCTCCTCTTTGACTATAGTTCCCTAAGGGCAAGAGCCATTTCTTCTAACAGTCCCAATGCCTTGCACCATGTCTGATACAAAGCAAGTGCTGAATGTCCTGGTTTGTGTATTATTCCACTTTGCTTTGTCTTCATTTGTAAGAATGAATGAATGGTCATTCATGTTCTTGGCTGGTCAAGTTCTTGACCAGCTGCTAATGTCTAGTGGCCATTCAACACATAAGTCACACCTAGGAAACACACCTCATCTAGTTGGATGCTGGCACACGTGAAAAGGTCTAGCAGCATTTGGTGCCAGGGAAGGATCTGCGATTCACTCACACTAGCATCAGGGTTAAGTGACCAATTACCCCAAGCTCCTATCCTCTCCAGGGCAGGGAAGGAGAAAGCCTAATCTCTAGAGGCAGTTGCATACTTTTATTAGTCCAAATAAGATGTTTTATAGGATGAATCACTTCTTGGTTCTGCACTGTTGAAGACATAAAGATAGCATGGTGTGGAGAAAGAACATTGAACCTGGAGTCTAGAAATCCAGACTCTGAAACATACACAAAGTGCTACCCTGGACAAGCCAATTCCTTACACCTGTTAAAGAAAAAAATTATCCTGACATTGTTAAAATGATAAGGCAGACTTCATTCAGGACAAAAGCAATACATATAGAAACCACTGCAATGGGGTTTTCCAATGAGAGAGACTGGGTTCAACTCTGAATACAATGAAAAGCAAGGAATTTCTAGCCAAAGAGAAGGGTGGGGGTGGGCGGATGGAACATTACTAGAGGGTAGAGTAATTCCTTTATAAACTGACCTAATGGGATTCTTACTGAAGGCCGGTCAGGGTGATGAGACATCACCTAGGGGCATGGTAGGGGATGCGGAGATCAGTCAGATATTGAAGGCAGGGGATTCTGCCTAAACTGACTTAGCAGGATTCTTGGTAAAACTGGGCTTTTGAGGACACACCCAAGGGCAGAGCCTACTTGACAAAGAGCTCAGAGGGTCCTGACTAGAGTTCGGCCAAGAAGAGAGTCTGTTAAGCCCTATTCTATCATCAACACAAGAGGCTTGCCTCCCAAAATCATAAAGCCCCGTCTGGACCTTAAATATCCTTATGCCACCAACATGGAGCTAAGCTGTTTTCCAACCAGTGAATTTTCCTCACTCTATACATAGCAAACATCTTACTTTTATAAAGAGCTAAATTCTCAGGGCTCCCTGCACGACTGATGTCACAAACTTCCTTCCAGAATCCAAATAAGCCTTATCAAAGGTAGTCCGCTTAGCACCACACATGGTCTCTCTTTCTACAGGCTGCAGTAAAGATTCACAGCAACTCTGCTCTTCCCCAAGAGTGGCTGCTTCTCCCAGAGTAGGGACTTCCCTACAAAGGCTTCTCCACATATTAGCTTCCTCTGCTCATTCAGGCTGACTGAAAAGGTCTTGCTCACTGAAGACACCTCACAGAGCCAGGACACCTGTGGGATGAAAGGTGCCCTGGACTCTGTCCTTTCCAGCATGGATGCTGCACACCACATTGACCACAGAACTCTGGGGGCCCCCTTCGCCTGGGGTGAGGGGCAGCTTGCAGAGAGGGTTCAGCCCCATTGCCAGAGACAGCTGCACCTGCAGAACTCACTTTTAAAAGAAAGCAGACCATCCTCCACCTTGTCACTCCAGACCCCTCCAGTGGGGTCACTTGGAGGAAACAGGTTCCTTTCTCCTATTTCAAAGCAAGCCTCTCAAATCCTGACACTAGGCTCCCAACACCAAAATGTCCAGAAATCCGGGAACATCACACATATGCATCGAGCACCTGCCATGAGCCTGGCACGAGGCCAGTTACCATTTTGAATCACTCCGAATACACAGCTGACCTGGAAAGCAAGAGGTGAGAGGCGCAAGGCCACAGGCTTTTGGCTTCTGTGCTTTGGCTTAGGTTACCCATGTCCAGCAGGTTATTCCACTATGTTCTCTGGCTCTTTCTTCCTGCCTTTTAATGCATCATCTCCAGCACACAGAAAAATACAAGATGCCAATCATATGCCCACTACTATATTTAACAGGTATTTGTGTTCATAAACAACACAGAATCTTTTGGAGTTTTTCACATTTACATAAGCCTTATACAGGGCGTTTGTCCTGCAGCTTGCTTATTTTGCCCAACGTTCAAGTTTTGGGATTTATCCATGTTGACACACCTAGCGATAATTCATCCTTTTTTAAAAAAAAAAAGATTTATTTGAAAGAGA